AAACTTTGGCTGCTGTTCTATTAAAAAAATTATCCATATGGCTTTCTTTTAATTACCTCTAAAACATGGTAGGTACAATTTTATTATATATTGTTTTAAATAAATAAGTAGCTTATTGTTTATATAGTTTTAAGTCCTTATTTATTTATTTATATTACAAAGGCAACTTTTCATAATGGCCGGACTCCTGCAGTTGTATAGTATGACTGCTTTGTGGATGGAGCACTCTGCCTTTGCTCAAGCAATTTGCAACTTGCCATTAGGAAAGCCAAATATCACTTCATTAAAAAGGAGAGCTATGCATGCAGAAGAATACACAGGTGAATACCCAATTGTGCCATTGATATGAAAAGGCAATCATGCGTGTAGTGAACCATTGCACATGCAGAAACAAGAAATAGGATTTTGGCCAATGACATCTAAATATCCAGTGATGGGCACTAAAATCAAAGAAATACTATTTTGCATGTGAGCAGATTCATTCATAGGCTACCTTCAGGATAGTCTGATCATTTGCATTTTATGCCTTTAACTACCTGTACTGTACAGTATGTTGACAATTAAATACAAATGACTGCTTTCCTAATGAAATGTTTATCTTAAACAGAGACATGTTATTTTTTACATGTCTCTGTTTCTGGAAAGTTTGTAAAAGTATTTTTGCGTGTCCCTTCACATATGCAAAGAGCCATACAGAAGTCAGTCAAATTGCCCCCTTTAAGGCCACAGTCTCTGTGTTCAAAGTTTTGAATTATGCTTCTAGATAGCGTAATTGTCTTTTATTTGGCTGCTGACCAATGTTATGGAAACTATCGTAACAGCTGCATATCAGGAAGTGTGCAAGTTACAATATAAGAATGTTGATTTTAAATCACCTTATTGTGAATCCATCTATTCCAGAAAAGTATCAGTTCGTCATAATGTGTGGACTGGCCAGATGGATTACTAAAGGGCTAGCATTACAAGTTGAGGGAATCTGTGGATTTTTTTTATATGGTCTAGCCATCTGGAAAAATCTATATGGGCCATTAAACATAATGCAGATCAAAGTTTAGGTTTAATTTTATCTTCTCCTAATAGGTATTCTGAAATACTTCCTAGGATGTCTCATGTTCTTAGAACTTAGAAAATTCTATCTTCTCTGTAATATTTGTTTATAATATGCTACACATTTGAGATATCCAGAATTTTTGGTTCTGTTTATTTATTTATTTATTACATTTATATCCTGCCTTCCCTCATGTGAGCACAAGGTGGCACATGGGCTTTTTGTCTCCACTTCGTCTTCTACAGCAACCTCTCAGCCTGAAGTGGGTCAAGCTGGGAGAGTGTGACTAGCCTAAGGGCACTCTATATACTTCATGGCAAGTCAGAATAAGAGCCCAGGTCTCCCAAATCCTAAACCAGTATTATCCACTGCATTACATCCGGGATGTCTCTCCACAGGAGGTTGAGTTCCCCTCAAAGAATGCAAATGTTTGTTGTTTCTTTTAAATCAGCTTGAGATCTGGAAAGTAATATAGTGCCATTTAAGATTAAAGGTTTAGTCTTGTCTATTTTAGTTCATGAAATAACACTTATATAAGAAACTAGGCAACTGAAAGGGGAAAACTATTAGCTAGCACAAGCTTCGTAAGGTTTCTGTACTCCCAGATGGGATTAGTTTTAAAACTCTCAGGGGAATATAGTTTCTGTGTCTTTGAAAATAGTAGGGACAGATTCGTAGTATAATCTGCTTTCCACAGAACCCCGAATAATTGAAATGTTTGAAAGCTTCAGAGAATTGCAGTTCTGTTCTGTAGATTTTTGTGCTCTCTCTACGAGACCAGTTATTTAAAATATAGCAGTTAGACTGAAAATGAAGATGTCATAAATTATGGCAGGAACAGATTATAAAATGCTTTATATTCAAATAAATTGTTTGTTGTATGTATCTTTGTCAGAAAGTGATTCATTGTAAAATCTATAGCTTTAAAAGTACGCATGTGAGGGAGTATGAGCCAAAAAGTTATTTTCTCGATACACACACACACCATTTCCTATTAAGTGAACTGTCTTTTTGTTGTTCTGCTCCACCACTATGCTATTGTCTGTCCGTTATAGACAATTTCATGAATAGGCAATTATTCTCCTTATTTACTTCCTGTACATCTTATGTTTTGCTGCTAATTATATATAATGTTTGTACGAGTGCAGAAAAAGTCATGTGTTCACTGGGCTGGGATAATTGGCACTCAAGAAGATTAGAATTTCTTCTGCAGTTGTCATACATTTTCTCTATCATAGCTCAGAAAGCAAGCATAGTTAAATGGCCTTGACTTGGATTTATTCTGTGCCCCCAAATCACATGTCCTCATTCTGTAGCTTTGAGAATATTTGCTTGTGTACTTAAAGGTGTACTGATCTTACCTGCTTTTGTGCCCTGCCTGGAGAATAAATATACAACATGCTCTGACCCTTATTCTATGCTGTTCACACAGAAGCTCCTTGCCCTGTAAGATTCAAAAGGTATCTTGTTTTTTATATTTTAGTGTCCTAATAAAAAATATTGCCTATACTTGCTTTTGGATTTCTTTCTCTTATGAAAAGCAAGTGCCTCATATTTTGTTCTTAAGAGTTCTTTCCATACACCTCAACAAACCAAAGTATATTATGAATCCAAGATGTAAAAGGATGCAGAGGGATATGCAAGGCTAATCAAGCTTTTTTTTCCCCCAAAGGCAAGGGTAGGTGATACCTTTTTTTGTACCACTGAAATCTCACAGAGAGAACCTAGCTTTTAATGCTGTATAGGTCATCATCATATTTGGCATTGCAGAGCTGGGGGTGAAGTAGAGAAAACATAAAAAGTTCAAAATTCATGGCCAGATGTACAGGCCAGGTTCTCTTTTTTACACAAGCTCCAAAATGAGAATGTCAGGATCCACTCACAGTTGGTAGATCTGATTTCACCTCTAGTGATGTGGATTAGAAAGAACTGTGAATCATACACACACATAGAGAGAGAGATGTGGATTAGAAAGAACTGTGAAGCATACACACACATACATACAGAGAGAGAGAGAGAGAGAGAGATGTGGATTAGAAAGAACTGTGAATCATCAACACACACACACACACACACACACAACCTACATCCCTTAGATCAAAATATGGATTCATTTCTGGTTGGGTAAGAGAGGCACATAGAAACAGAACAAAGCCTATGTCAGAGAAGTTGAGATGAAATTTAGTTTACATATGAAATAAACTAATTTCAGCCAGATTAATTGTATTGCTGTACTTGTTGGTTGGAGAAGATAGTTGTCCTCAGTTTGAAGTCCTCCATAGGTAATGTTAGGAACTTGTCTTAAACAAAGAACCTGGTCCATACATCTGCCCATGGATTTTTCTGCACCAAACCCAGTTCTAAAATGGGAACATTTGGAAAAGGTTCATGAATTTTCTACCATACCAATTTACTTTATGTCTGTGACTACTACATTTCATCATAAGCAAATACTTTCATTCTTCTAGTTTAGTCTGCATGGGCTCTGATCCTGAATGCATACCTTAGTCTGTCGGCAATGAAGCTGAAGAACCAGTCATAGAATTCTGTGAAGCCAACAACCTGTTTATGCCAAATATAGACATCAGGCAATGAAACAGATTATTATACACAAAGGCTACATCCCAAAGCCAATCCACCATCTACATAATTGAAAGATGTAGATGGGGAAGCTGTAGTCTCTCTGCCAAAACAAGACAAGGAACTAATTGTCTCACTAGAGACCAAAGCAAATATATATAGGCTGAAATCCAGTTGCTTGGTGTACAAGGTTGCATTAGTGTAAGCCCATTGAATAAGTGGGGGTTTTCTGAGTTAACTACATAAAGTAAGTTGCAACTAGGGTATGCCGATTTGAATCTGGAGTTTATGGAGAATTTCCTCCATAGTATGGTATTCCTGATTATAAAGTACAGATATGAAAACTGGAGGGTGAAGAATGCTGAAAAGAAAAAGGATGGAAGATTTATATGATTTGAAGAAAAACCAAAGTATAAAACGACAGCAAACTCATCTGATTTATTTGAAATGTGATTCTGAAAGGTAGTTTTACAGATACTGTGGGCAGCCAGAAAGATGAGTACTCGATTGACTCACGATTGAACTTTCCTAGAAGCAAAAACGACAAAATTGAGGCTATCATACTTTGGGCGCATCACAATAAGACAAGACTCCCTGGAAGTGATTACAACACTGGAAAAAGTTGAAAGCAACGACAAGAAAATAGCAAAGACCAAACAGAGGGATTGACTCAGTGAAGGGACAAGACCTGTGGAAACCAAGAACACAGAGTATTTCCTTGACTGTCTTCTTTGCTCCGTGATAGTGGTAACGCTGAAATGCCAAAAGATAAGTATCACACCTTTAGGTCAAATATCAAGCTTATTGTCCAAGCAAGGGAACTCTCCTTGTCTTAACAACTTTGGCAAGCTAGAAATATGTTAAACTTAGTTTACTTCTTAATTTTTCAAGAGCTTTTGGCATTTGAGACTACTTTTACCATGCCTGCTTGGCAGTTGGCCCAGAGGCTGCTTGAACTATGCCCAATGCTTCTGTTGCAGAATGGTATAAATAGCTTAACTTAATCCCCTTATATGTTCACAGTTATCTTGAGTCTTAAGGATCCGGTTTGCAGAGGATCACAGAATGTTTTTTAAAAATGCAGATGTCTAAAGATGTACAGTGTGCGTGTATACTCTTCTCACATATTTTATTTTATATTTAAAGGAAACTAATCAAGTACGTGTATGGAAATGTCCACTGCAGATCTAATCCCTACTTCTTTTCCTTAATGAATTTTGGGCTGTTCATGCTGTTATCCATGTTTTCTGTTCTTTTAAAAATGTCACATTTGAAGGAAGTTCGAGACAAAATGTGAAAAATCATTTATAGATTTAAAATCAACTTTAAAATTTCTTAGCTGAATTTTACTTTGCTTTAATTTTAACAGTGAGAATTATGCCAAATCTGAAGAAAAAATGGAAATCCAAAAGTGTGTCCTTCAAAATGGCATTCGAACCCTGGTCTTGGCTATTCCACACGAAAATCATTTTAAGGTATTATATAGTTTTATAGTTAGTGTGCAATATCTTAGCTGCTACAAAACCATCATCACTTTATGTGATTCATGTTGTTTTGTTCTGTATTATGAAACCCAAGAATACTGTATGAAGTAAGTGAGAGGCAGCATAATATTTATTCCTTTGTATTATGTCGTGTGGTGATGTTGCATTGGCCATAGGCAGTGATACAGGACTGTCCAAGATCAGGGGGATTCATGACATCCATCTCTGTATACTAGTTTGAATGGGCTGAAATTTCCTTTTCTGACCAGTAGCCCTGGAGGTTTCTAGTTCTAACCCACAGCATTCAACAGGAATATGTAGACCAGGATTAAAAGTATTATTAAAATTAATTCTCTTGATCTACAGGATTTATAAACTACTTTTTTAAAGTGTAGCCTGCTCCCTTGGCTGCATAGGAAATTGGTACAGATATTGTGAGAAGAGGGCCTAAAAGTCTTTGAAGTATAGCATGTATATGAGCTATTCTAAGATGAAACTGGACCTGTATGCTCCTCATTTAAGAAATTAAGAGTGGTTTGTAGGAGCTGATATTTAAGGATAGCTATTCAAGTTTTTTTTAAACTTGGGATCATTGTTATATTTATAGAAAAATGGCAGTTTGAGTATTTTGTGGCAAGTTCATTGTTCAGTTATTTTAAAAGCTTTTGTGCCAATGGTAAAATTAATAACGTATACTTTCCTGATGTGTCAGCAAGTGTGCCAAACATGCTAAATATAAATTGGTCAGGTCTAGATATTCAGAAAAACATTTCAGTTCAGAAATTTCCAGGGGCAGAAAATGCATTACTGGGGTTCCCAGAAAGTAGAACAAAGGGACCTGATATGTTTCTGATATAGACTCTGTATATGGATCATAAATGCGGTCCCTACAAATAGTATGGAATGGGATCTTATCTGATAGTGAAATAAATGGCTCTATAGCCCAGTATCTGAATGTAAGATGCTCTGATCCTGACATAGAGTGATGTAAATGTGGTCATTAAGTATTTTGAAAACATACAGAGTTGTACTTTCAGTGTATATCAGTGAAAGGAATTGGAGAATTGTGTTCGGGATCACACTTGCACAGAAAACAGCCTTGATGTTTTTTTTCCCCTTCCCTTAGTGCTACTATGCATGACCAGACACTCCCTAATGGCTCTCCCTCAATTCTCAGTCTGCTGCAGAAGAGCATCTTGAAAGAATACTGGAGCCTTACTCTTTTCAAAAAGTATGTTTCTTCTGGGGGCAAACAATTCAGTCCAACGGATACTATAAAGTCTGAAAAACCACAGACTCAATTCCTTAGCCATCAACAAGTCCACAAACAACATGAAAAACATGTTGTTCTACGATATTGGATCCCTTAAAAAATATAAACCTTCCAAACTTGGACTTGTCTGTGTCAACTGTGGAATTTGCTACCCATTGATGTTAGTATCGAAGGCTTCTTCGGTGTTAACAGTGGCAAAATACAGGAAGTCTACTACAGACAAACAGAATGCCATAGAGGCTACTCTGTTGAATGTGTTCCAAAGTAGAGGTGTGGGTACTCGTATACGAATACAGATATCCCCCCACAGGTGGAAATAACGAGGGTCCAGCCCCGTGGGGCCGGACTGTCCACTCACCATCCCACCGCGGACGTGTGCTTGACTGAGCCTTCCTATCGCGCTGTTGTCTGCAATGGATTAGCCACTTCTGGCAGGAGACAGGATGACAAGGTCGCAGAGTGGCAAATCCACGGGGCTGGACCCTCGTTACTTCCACCAGTGGGGGAAAATTCATATACAAATACAAATACCCTCTTCTCTATTCCAGATACCAGATGCCACCAGTGAAAGAGGATGCTTTATATGTCTTTTTGCTTTTTGTTTTTTTCTCATTCATACGCATTTTTGGAGTCTAAATAGAGTACAAGCTTGGCACACAGAAGATTACTCATGTAGCCATTTAAAGTAGTATGGTTTAAAGAGATATGGACTAGGAAGCAGGAGGCCTGGGTTCAAATCACTGCTCAGCCATGGAAGCTTACTGCAGGTATGGAATTGGTAAAACTACTCCTTAAATATCTCACTTAACTTGAAAGCCCTAATTAGGATCACTATAAGCCAGTTCCAACTTGACAGCATATAAATACAACAACAAATAAGACAGAACATCCACTTGAGACCATAGAAAGTTTCTGCTATTAAGAGGAGACTAAAGTAGCCAATCTCATGAGAAGAGAAGACTCCCTGGAAAAGACCCTGATGTTGGGAAAGTGTGAAGGCAAGAGGAGAAGGGGACGACAGAGGATGAGATGGTTGGACAGGGTCATCGAAGCGACCAACATGAATTTGACCCAACTCCGGGAGGCAGTGGAAGATAGGAGGGCCTGATGTGCTCTGTTCCATGGGGTCATGAAGAATTGGACACAACTTAAAATGACTAAACAACAACAAAGTAGCCAAATGGTAATAGAAATAATGAAATCTCACTTCATGGAGGGGTCACAACTCAGTAATAGAGCATACAATTCCCAGAATGAAGATGCCCTGACAATCATTTTTAAGAGAAAGAAGAGGAGAAGCTGTAGGACTGTTCTTCATTTTGATAGCCCTGAGTATTATAATGTCCAGGGTTCTAGCTATTGTATACTGTACACTCCTTCACATGTACTGTGATTCCCTTTGAAATGAAATCTGCAGAGAACTAATTTAAACGAGGAGTGTAATAATCTTTGTAAATAAAAAATAAAATAGCTTGTTCAGCCTTGATGTGAAATCCCCCAAGAATTAAGAATTCCAGTCCTATTGCTGTCTTTTACAGTGACAGTTACTTGTCTCTTTATTTTTATAGTCTTCATGCTTAGTACAAACAACAATTATTAGCTTGGAAATGACAGTAATAAGCTATTAAATGCTAGGGTAAACAATAATAACAGTGAGCTCTATTAATGGGCTTGGTTGTACTATTTGAAGTCAGACTTTTAAAAAAATCATTGCATATATCCTGCATGTTGTCTTGTTCATTGTCACTTTGCATATATTATTCATAAGCAGCTGAAAGCTCCTCTGTAATCATGAGCATTGCATTAATGCACCAAAATTCACAGAGCATTCTATCAGTTTCCTAATTGGACAGTGTGTTATTGATGAGTCTCCCTTGTTCTGTAAAAGATCAAGATTTATGAGATTGCTCTAGGGGTGGTATTAGAAATCTTGTTGTGGGTTCTTTGCTTCATACAGTTTGGCACTGGAGCTATTGTGTCTTTGTTGACAGTTGCTAGGAAATGGTTTTGCAAAATTTGTTTATATCCTTCATTCTATGTGACCAGTATCTTCCGTGCATTAAATTGTGTTTGAATGTCTGTTTCATGAAAAATATGTACATTAACACATTACTTGGTTCTTCTGTGTAGCGCACTAAAGCTCCCACCCTCAAATGGGAGGAGCTGCATGCCTGAAAAGCATGAGTTTTGCTGTCTGAAAATGCTGTAGGCAGTTTTTCCATTGTTTAAAGTAGTGATATGACATGACACCTGAGAAATGTCCTACCTGTTTCAAGCTTATGGTGCTTGAATGATAGTGCCAGTCTCAGGTGTAAGAATCAGACCTAGTCTTTTTGATAGCTGCCCTCCCTTTGTCAGCTCAGAAGCAAGCATATGTATAGAGAAGGGTGGCTGCACAACAGGCCCTGGTGGCATTTTTGAGGGGCAGGTTGGCATTGCAGTCCTTCAGAAAATGTCATTGGAGGTAAAAGCTCCAGTGTTTTTTCTGCATTGCACTGTCCTGTGTATGCTACCTTCTTTCTGTTTGACATTGTTAAGAAGGGAAGCTCTTGTGTATGAGTGTTTTGTTGTTGTTTTCTCTTTAGAACAGCAGGGAAATGAAGTTCCTGTGATAGTAGAGTCTGTAATTAAACAGCGCTCCTTGAGAACAGTATCTTCCAGGCTGGATTTGCTGTTTTGTTCCATCTTTACTAAGATTGAGGTTTCAGATAGTTTGACTTGTCCTTTGGTTTTATGTGGCTAGTGGTCAACCAGACACTTCAAGTGTAAAGCACAGCAGGAATATCAATGCATTGGTGTTGTTAACTGGAATACAGAGTTTTGGGCTCCTGGGTAAAGGATTCTCACAACTGTGTATCCTAATCCTCTCCTGATAATTTAGGAGCAATTTTAAATGGATCTTAAACAACAAAGGGGAAAGGACAATGGCAAAATAAATCCCAAGAGGGGAGGAAATAGATGATAAGGCCAACCTTTGCTTTGATAGTTTAGAGCAGGGGCCTTCTAATGCAATTCCCAGAGTATTGCGTTATGTTCACCATTACCTGATTATCTATCTATGTTGAGAATTGCCAGCTTCTGTACTCTCAGAGATTGTTATGCTCTCCCAACAATGTTTGATGACTCGTAATAAATTATAAATTAGCAGTGAGGGTACAGTGGCACCCACTTCTTATTCAGCAAACATTTGTATTTGTGTTCCTAAATGTGCATGCGAATAATTGCTCTGGCCTTGAATTCAAATACTGTTCATTCTTTTGGGAAACGAAATGATTCAAAAAAGAAAAAGTTCATGTCGAAGTGAAGATTGGTTACATTTCTTGTTTGTAGAGCATGAATTAGCTATTAACAAGCTAGATTCTCTGAAACCCTGAATTGCTACTGTTAGTCGAAGAGAAAAAAGAGAATACCAGTGGTTTGACCTGATTACAGCACAGCTGTTTTCCTGTGAATTTCTGGGCCATATAGGGTGCTCTGGCATTTTGGCATATCTTGGACAACTTGTGAGCCTGCATATGGAGACTTCTAAATTATTTGTGAAACCTTGTACTGTACTCTGTCAGTACTACAGATTACAAAAGATCTTCATATTTTATGCATTTCAAAGCAGGGGACAAATTATGAACAGGTGCGATAAAACTGTGTTCTGCTTATAAAAATGGCAGTTGGGTCATTTAATCCTTTTACAAAGAAAGGATTAGAAGAGGAAAACATAAGTTGTAAGAATTAATAGCTGGAATGACTGGTTAGACAAGATTCAGGCTTAATATTGCACTAAAAGTTAATAGTAATAATGGAAAAGGAAGCCATTTCAGGATGTCTCAATTAGCCAGTAAGTATTGTTTGGCCCTGCTAGGTGATGATAGGGGTGGTGGTGTCAGAAGCAGCTCATCCAGAGTTTGGGGAAGGGTAATACCATTTGAGCGGGAGTTTCTCATTACATTGTATAACTTGAAAAGTAAACAGAAAGGCTGCTAGTTGGACAGATGTTCCTTTTTCCCTTGAGAACAACTGAAAGGTACTGTATGGGAAGAACTAACTTCAGTGTGGATACTTATTTTAGTAAGTAAGTGCTCTGGTGATGAACATATTTTTTCACTTGATTCACTTGGCAAATATTGAACAGATAGCACAACCTCTTAGTTTGTGTTTGGTCAGAAAAAATACAGTTTTCTTCAGAAAACTGGATATTGTTTATTTTAAGAGGAGGAAACTTTGGTGGTCATGATGGTGGTACAGTGTTCTACACCTCTACAGAACTATTAAAATCTTCACCATCTAATTTGTATTACCCGTAATCTCAACAGCAGCCTAGATCACTTTTGTTAACTACATATAGAATTGAAGAGGTGAGGCTAGAGAATAGTTGCTTTAAAACTACCTGTTTGTTCATATCAGTTCATTAAATGAGCCATGGAGGAACAAAACCTATTGTCTTCTTCACAACCTTTTCAAGTTAATCTTACAACTTAATACCTATTTGAGGATGATTATATTCATGTTTTATGCTTTTCTGATGGTTCATATGTGTTTATAGTAGATGCTAAATACTATCATTTAAGAATGGTTTAATTTCTGTTTATGCATACAACCTGATCAGTTATGAAGCAATAAAGTATTCATCATCATTATTTTACACCTGAGTATTACTACTCTTCATATCTGTTATGATGGGTTCTATGTAAACTAAAAATTTGCATACTCTTAGACGTGCATGACTCTCTGAAAGGCAAGTTGTGTATTTATAAATTTTCTTATAAAATTGTTGGATGTCTGATCTATTAGTAAAGTTGCATCATCCTTAAGAGAGTGTGTCTTTCTGTAAACTTGTCTCAAGAGCAGATCACTCATATACACAAGCACTTGACTTGTGGGATAGAAGGTGTTGGTAACTTTGACCACAGTTGCCACTTTGTTACAAGAGTGAATCAGAGTTTGCAGTTAACTAGGATCTGAAATAACAATTGAGGTCAATGGTAGAATTTCCTTCAGCTGGCTAAACTGGTGAGTAAGATAGGATTTTTTACAGAAAAGGGAGAACACCATTCTCTTAATATGCATACCTTACTGAAGAAAAGCTGTCTCTGTTTTTTCTGAGGATGATTGGTTTCTGCAAGAAAAAGCAGGGTTTGGAAGGATTACCAAAGCATGCTTGAAGAAGATACAGATCTGTAGTGACAATGAGATGTGGCATTAACTTTATCTGTGAGACCAGTGGTTGCCTCTGTGATAACTTCCCTTAAAGCTAAAAATAATTAAGTTTTTTTAAAAGAAGTGATTAAATTACATTTGTACAATCTTTTCAAGCAACGCAAGCCTCAATCTGCTTAACAAAAGTTGAGTCCATCGTTTTGCTTCTAGATTAATGGATTAAAACAAGTACGTATTGAAGTCTGTTTTAGAACCATTTGCATGGAACTAAAGCATATTGAAGGTTAGATCCTGCTCCTTCAAACTGTGGCCAAATGGTGGCAGCTTTTTTTCTCCTCTCAGTTCAGATAGCTGCTTCTCTAGTGCAAACTATTGTTTGCTGTTACGTTTGAAGTGTATGGTGTGTTTCACCTCAAAACTATTGCAGCAGGATGTATCAGTAGTAGAAAACATTGTGTAACATTTTAGTGACATTGACATTAGCATTATGCTTTTGTCATTGAGGTCTAAAAAAAAAATATGATCTGAGTTTTGACTGTGAAAAAAGCTGATGCAGAATCTTACTACCTCCTGTTCTCACTTAAGCCTCAAGCATTATCTAAGTTACGTATCTGACTTGAAAGATTTTCTTTCTGTTTCCTAGCAATTTCTTTGGAGATGTCTAATGTTCTAGAAGTGTAAAGATAGTTTCTGCCAATACTTAGGCAGAAGTGGTGTGTCTTTTGAGTAAATGCTGTGGCAACAGTTATCCAAACATATGTTTTCCATAGTGCTTTTCAAGCCTAGTGAGTTTAAATGTAAATGTCAACAATAATTATAAAGAGTTTTTTCTAAATCAAATTTGTATGCTACATTTTTACAAAAGTAAATATTCTGAATGGCTGCTGTTATGTAGCTACTGTGGTAGCTTACTAAGGCATTGGATGAAAATCTGTAACTAACTTCCTTGCATACTTTGCTGAAAGGTGGGGGGGGAATCAATTACTTAAAGGCAATTATGGGGTGCATGCTAGGAAGATGTGTGTACCCCAAAATCTCCAAAGGAAGCCTTTAATCAGTAGCTATTTGCCACTAATGCCATCATTCCCATTACTTACACTGAGCTGTTCAACAGGATTTCAGCCACCACATTCCTCTACTTTTCACCTGTTATTTTCTGTTGAAAGTTGTTCGCAAGCACAAATATTTCTTCAGTCTTGGAGTGCATCATGCATTAGCTGCAGCATGTAATTTCTTGTCCATGAGGCAGTTCAGTTATAGTTTTAACATGAATATCTTTTTGCTTTTTTATGATTTCAGCTGTGTTATAGCATAGAGGAGGGAAAAGCCCAAAAGGTTTCCTGGGCTTCCCAGTTAAGATAGGCAAGTTGCTGTTTCTTTGTGTCTCATACCATTAACACTTTGTCAAGGGTTTCTTTTAAAAACTGTCTATTGAATATCTCTTACATTCTTCCCATCCCTCTATCAACTTCTGTACAGTTTTTGTTATGAGTTTAATCCTAGTTGAGGTTTTAAAATAAATGTCATTGTGGTGATATTTGCAGCAAGGCTAATGAATGCAACCATCATTAAATATGCAGGATTGACAAAGACACAATCTGCACTCCCAGCCCTACAATGAACAATGAAGAAGTATAAATGGAATCAGTAAAATTTGTGTTAAGGACAGAAGTTGTGTATATCAGGTTGCTGTAGAAACTAGCCAGACAAATATTCCAACCAGAAATTCCCATTTTCCATGTGTGTGTAATTTTCTGACATTATAAATCAGATTTTATATTGACTTCTCTCTAATGTGTATTAAATATTCTGTAAAAGCATATAGATCCTCATGGTAGTTACCCTCACAGGACAGTATTGGGTTCTAGGAATGGAGGAATATGATGACTAAAAATAGCAGTGAAAAGAGTGGGAGAGTTTCAGTCACAAGAGAAGAGGTTAGAATTATATGAGAAAGGAGGCTTGAAGGTATTGGCTAGAAGGATAATTGGGAAGAAATGAGGGAAGGAAAAATACAATAGGGTGAGTTGAGTACTTTAAGCAAAGGCAGTATTAACCTTCATATCTTTTTCTTGTTTATGTCCTAGTGGAGATGGGGCAAAATCAAGAGTATTCTGACTTTGGATCTGGCAGCTCTTTGCAATACTGGCTTGTTGCCTCAAAACTTTTATATGAGGTTTGTTAACCAACAAATTATTCTCTTCCTTCCTTACCACATTTATTTTATCTTGAATGATCAGCTGTGGCAATCTCTACTCTTCATTTCTCATTATATGGCCCAGGCATTTTAGCTTTCTGTGATTTGTGTGCTTTATGATTTCTTGGTACTTGTTGGTTGATTATCCTCTCAGTCCAACAAATGCTTAATGTCCTGTTGTGACTACATTTCAAATACTACTTTTGAGTCCAGAGGGTTTTTTGTTAGCCATATTGCACTCAGAATTTATTCTGTATTTCCTGTCCACTATTGCCTATTGCTACAATTAATACTGTCCATCTCGTATCTTTAAACACTTCCTGTCATCTAAAGATGTCATATTTGTTATCTCCCTCTAATTTATTCCATCAGCTCTTATTTCCTCTCTCCTCCATTTCTTTTTTTAATTTGCCATTTCTTACTTTTATATTACTATGTATTAATCACATTTACTAATATATAGTAGCTTAAAGTAAATATTAAATAGTATTTCAGTATGAGTGTGTATTTATATTTGATTGATGCCTTTCTAAATCTTAATTTTTCATAAGTGTGCAGTCTTTCATTACCAAAATTTAATTGCCTGCAGATGACTTTACTGGCAGTGGGAGATTTTCAGTAATTAAACCTTCCTCCTTCTGTCCTGTAGCTGGCATCCATACAATGAAAGGGATTAAACAGGAGTAAGAAAATCACCAGGACAGAAGTAGGATGTATTTGATTACGTACCAGAAATTGCCCCCACTGATGACATCATTACCATTCCACAGGTATAAGTTATGCAAGAAGATTTCATTCATATATAACTGTAGATTTGCATAATTGTAAGGTTCAGATTTAATGGATTTACAGAATAAATGTAGGCAACTTGAGACTGCAGGCATTAAAATGTTTGTTTAATGGGCATCAAAAGGGGGAATTTCTGCATAGGTAAGAAAAGGTTGAGATAAACATTCAGTATGTGAAAATGCTTGCTGATGTCTAAAATGCTTTCAGTTCTATAAACTGATCCACCACCCCACAGATTCTTTCTGAGTCTTATCAATCCTTTTAATGTGAACTGTTAATGTTGCAGGTTAAGACTGTAGATAGAAGATAGAAGATACATTTGTTCCCTTATTGAGCCTGTGTTTGTTTATATTATCAACTGATTCCAATGTTTCTATGGAATATAATGTCATTTGATTGTTTTCTAAATACTGTATAATCAAACAAAAAAACAGAAGAATCAGAAAACAGAATCATGAAATCAGATTACTAATTAAAAATGTCTTTGTCAAATCCTGTTACTTAGTTATGCTGGCAGAATGCAAACAGCATAACTTGCAGCAGCTTCTTGCTGCTGATTAATGAGTTTTTGCTTGGATTTCCAGGCCCACCAGTCTGATGGTTTAATTGCCAGTAAAAAGCCAGTGTGAGTAATGCTGTTTGCCTTCTGGAGGTGTGACTAGACAACAGGATTTGGGGCATTGTGACTAATTGCAGCCATGTGATCTACCTGTAACGAAGTGTTTTACTTTTTAAGAAAACATTTAACATCCCTGTATTCATTCTAAAAAGTATGAGAGTAGATTGACAAAAACTGTATTTTTGGTTAACTTCCAATGTTAATAAAATAAATCTAACTCAGTTTTCTTGTAACAGTAGTCAGTCCAATACTTTTGAAAATTCACAGCAGGGCTAATGAATTAATCATCCATACTTAGTGTAATGCATCTGAACCTGGGACAGGTTATAAAATTTAACATTCTTCCAAAATTATGTGCCATTGCTGAGTACATTATCCTGTATGAAAGGCTTTGCAGTGGTTAAACAGCAATAGTTTGTAGGACTAATTGTAGAAAGATACGCTGTAAGTATTTTGAACAGATCGACATTTATGGAACCGAATTCATTTTCCATTGTCTAACCTAATGTTCTTATCGATCCAGTACTAGTGTAATTCTTTTATACATGTAACATCACTTATTGCCTCTTTCAATCCTTCTCACAAATTCTTCCTTCCTTTGACTTTCTGCCTGTGGGAAGGTGCCCTTCTATTGATTTCATCATTTTGTATGTACATTTGGAACATTTCTTGACTGTATTTTTAAAGTAGGTTGGAATAAATCTAAAGTAGCTGCAAAGAAAGCAAAGGATTCTGTTACTAGGGTATCAGAAGTAGATACATAGGAGTGTACATTAGGGGTGTGCCAGTCCTCTTTTTCAATTACCGGAATTACCAGAATTCTCCAAGAATTTCTAAGAGTTGCGGGAGTACAGTTCACAGACCACAGTTCCTGTGGACACCTTCATTTCACTCGTCTGCACAAAGCCAAAGTTTCTGAAATAATATAGCATTCTGGGCCTCATTTTCTGCTGCACTACTTCTTGGGAGGAAGCAGTGCTTTCTGCAAGTGGTGGTTCTTGGGGAAGCACATTTAGTACAGCATAAACAGCAACAACACTAGAGGATGAAGGGAAACAATTCTGAATGAAGTGTTGGTGTTAAAAATGGTGCAAAATGTCCTGTTGTTCCTCTGCATTAATTTTTGACAGTATTTTAAGGCATTGGTTCATAATTTGCCCCATTATTGCCTTTGCTCAAATAGGTTTTTGAAATGGTGCAACGGCCTTTAAAACCTGTATGCATGACAAATAATACTTCTACTTTTAAACTATCTTCTCTTGGGGAGGAAGACTGCTTGAGCATAGCATACCAGACATAGTAGTAATAGAAGGAAGAAATGGATCATTGACATTGCAATTCCAGGGAATGCTGGAGTTGAAAATAAAGAACTGGAAAAACTAACAAAATACAGGCATCTGGCAATCAAAATATATCTCACTTGTGGATATGAAACACACTTCAGTGGCCCCCATAGTTGCAGATTTCAGGAATAACGCCATCAGAGCTATTTAAAAAACCCACACACATTAAGATTAGAAACAGCATACATACTGCACTGATATTTAATGGATACTTAGATTTTTGGTTAAAACTTGTATCAGTTATATAATACCAGTCAGTGTTTTTTTAAAATTTTGATTGAATGTGCCTGGTATTTTTTAATGATGATCTTAGAACTGTACAGCTGAAAGGGACCATATCTGCAATGCAGTACTTAATGTATGATTTTTTTCTTATTTTCTTACTTCTATTCTAAGACCAGATTTAGAAATCACAAAGGAAATTTTAATCTACTGTATGCTGCTTTCAATAGAGAACGACCCTACATTTGATATTTACTTGTAAACAAACATGCTTTAAATATTAAGGGTTTTCTGAATCAATTTTTAACCTTTGCAAACATTTGTCCTTCATTCAAAACCCAATGCAGTGTGCTGATACAAGTAGCTTTACTTCCTCTGTCAATGTGGAACACCCATAAATGTGGCCAATTTGGGGAACACAATTACCCTTTGTTCCAACACCATCTACTAGCACAGCAAACAGTTTTCACAGAGCTTCCCTTGGTAATATCCAGATGTTGACAGCACTAGAGTGTATCATGTGATGAAAGGCATGAGGTATGAATTAGACATTAAGATAAGCTGCTGCAGCAGCAGTTGTTAATGTTAATGTTTATGCACTGTTTAAATTGAGGCTTTTAAAAAATACTAATGGCTTTTGCTTTTCTCGAATGCAAGGGGGCAAATCTTAATGAGTTATTTCATGATACAGTATTTCTGTGCTGTGATGAAACATAGCTTGGCTTCCCTTTGTGCTAGGAATGCTGATGAAAGGCAGTACTCTTACAAGAGCCTCCTATTGTGAATATTGATTAGTTAGCTCTACAGAGAGCCATCAGGAATTAAGTCTGGTACCTGCAGAGGATTCTGTAGTACGCTGATACAAGGAAGCTTCTCCCAGACAGGTGAAGGTAAAAGCATACAGTGTTCTCAGATGAAGGGAAAAAATTAAGTTTTTTGGCATGAAGTACCTATTGATATAAAGGCAGATGATGGGCTGATGGCATTGCACTGGCATATACTTGTCTATATTGCTCACTAAATGAATAAAGCATTCATTTAAAAGGAAGCTTTTGCAATGGAGAGCATAGAAAACACATGTCTAATAGGTGCATTCATTTTAATAGGCTCATTCATGGAGCTGGTCTGATTAATTAGCGCATGTCACCATCTGGTACTTACCGTGAGTATTCATTTTTAGAGTCTGAAATTGCAGGGAATAGTGCACACCAATTAAGTTCCTTTTAACTGGATTATGTTAGTATAAAGTATTATTCTAGGAGGTCTTTATTGTGATTCTGCCAGCATGCCTCTGAAAGGAACCTGCCAGCCTGAAATTTAGGACAAAAGAAAATACTGCCTGAAATACATAGGGGAAAGGGGGAGGAAACTGTATTCTTTCATTAGACTAGACTGCTAATAACAAGAGCACTGAATGTAAGAAAACGCTTGTAAACAGGTGAAGATTTCACATGGTGTATATGTGTATGTCTGTATGCATACACATGTCTGTACTAGTTACAGTGAGGATGTTGTTTTTCCTAGCCTGTGCCTGGATAACTTTGTTAACAAAGAAAAGTTAAAATGTCAACATGATTTGCTTCCCCCCCCCCCAGCTTAATAAAACAGACACTTTTTGTATCCAAATGTATACCCCACTTGCATCTTAGAAGTCTACATTTTCATGGGCTGGTGTTGTCAAATATTGTATTTACAGTGGTAGCTCAGCAACTTTTCACTGATCTAACTATAGAATATTTTAGCAGAAGTTCTCAGCAAGTCTAGTCTCATGATTTATACCCAGGAACAATGTGTCATGAGTAGAATGGACTGCATTCTATGAGCATGTGAGACTTTTTTTCTAGTTGAAAAGTATTTTCAGGGAGGCAGAATTTGCTTCCATTTCTGCTTGTAGCATGTGTCTGTTTATTGCTGTAGCTGGTATAAACATTTTAGCAACAGGACTATGTGATCAAAAGAAAATGCTCATAACTGGCATGTCAGTTCAGATTTATCTTGCTTTTCTGCATAGTCCTGAGGTTATTATAATCACATCTGTCCGCTTTATACAGATAAGCATTTGATGGTTAGAAAATGGAAGCACTAAAATGTTTTTGCAGTACTTTTTTGAAAGTAGGGCACTCACTGCATGAATTTAAGCCCCAATAGTTCTGATTTTGGATTCTTCCTCTTCACTTCCTTACTTCCTTAGTCTTCCTCCACATAATATAAAGTTGTATGCATGAGTATCTTGAGATAGGCTAGACCTAAATAAAAAAATTAACGCCTTTTTCTAAGTGCATGGAGAGCATGATTCATCCATAATAGGAGAAAATAGTGATTCTAGCAATCCTAAACTAAGAACTTCCTTACCATGGCAATAAAAATTATAATATAGGCCATTAGTGATTAAAAACATTTTGATGTGTGATTCTTGCCTGGTGATGCTAGCGCATGTTTAAAGAAAACCATTTTTGTTCACATTCAATACAGTACTTTAAAGAATTAATATTGTCTTGAAAGACTGATTCATATTTCTTTCATTCTCTTCATTATCTTAAATATTTTAAGACACAATTTCTTAAATACAGTACAAATGTTGACACAAAGCATACAAAATTGTGACATAATAAACGTTCATGTTTTGTAGTGTTTATGCAATGCTGTTACTTCTGTAACAACCCAAAGGGAACATTTACACTAAGAAAGCTTTGTAATGAATGCTTTGGCAGTGAGTGAAGATTTCAATACACTGTACAGTACTATGATAAAATTGGAAAAGTTGCCTGGCTTTGGTAAATATATGTTCCAATTGTACTGCAGCTCCATCTGGTGTTTAGTTGGAGAGTTTGCATATTTTCTCTTACAATGAACAGTATCACTTGCTATAAAACAATCTAGCACTTGTAAAATTAACAAATGGGAATCTAGTTTCATTATTTATACTTGCTGCATACTATGTTGTGATAAAGGCCAACTATCCTTGTATTGTAGAAAGAAAATATGGTTGCATTTCATAAAAATAAAACTAGTACTACAGTTGCCAATCAAGACTGACTATACATGTATTCCATGATAGTGATAGTGACGGAAGTCACTAAATCAACATCAAAACAGTCTTTTATATAGTTGAACTTTTTTATGCTGTGTGCTTTTTCACTAAAATGTGTTCATTCAAAATCATTCAGAGTTAAGGATGAATTCTAAAAGTGTACATGCTGATATTCTTCACCTTTGGGTTTTGTTATTTTAAAGATAGACAGCAGATAATTTTTATATACCTTACTGACTAAGGCAAGTTACTGTATGGGTAAACACTTGAAACACAACTGCTTGGAAAGACTATTTCATTTGATACACATTTGTGTGAGCATCTCCTGGTGTCATCCATAACTTTTAAGAATGTCACTGTAGACCAAACAAATGAGAGGTTGTACTGGCTTTGCTAAAAATCATTAACACCATATCAGTTCCTCATATTAGTCTTGAAAACTTGCAGCAGCCTTTGTGTAGTTTGTGTAGTTGCATTCAAAATACACAACACAGATCCATCAACAAGACATAATTTCTGAACTGAGCCTGTATTAAGATGCAGCATGGAGGGAGCAATGGGGTAGCAGACTGTGTTTTAAAATAATACTGTGAATCTCAGTGCCTTGGGTGGGGGGCATTTATGAACTTCAAGATAAGGAAAGCTGAAAAAATATTTTAGGGAGTCAGCAGAAATCAGGAAGTTCCTATCTTAGGAGGTTAAAATGATTAACTGCTTAGTGTGTGCCTTCACATCTCATTCATGACTGTTTCTTATCAATTTTCTTCTCTTTTTTTAGGATGGAAATGGTTTGAATATGCCTGCAAGATAAAGGAGAAGATTGATAACAAATGTATAATCTTAGAATGTACTGAACAACACATCTAAGCATCACGTGGTTAGCCCTGGGAAAATGTCTGCTTGTAATGCCTTCACTGAACATGTCTGGAAACCTGGTGAATGTAAAAATTGCTTCAAATCAAAAAACCTGCACCATCTGCCTCCAGCCTCTGATAAAACTCCAGTTTCAAATGCAAATCTAAAAACCAATGCAACCCACAGCAACAGCCAACGTATTAGAAACACAGGAAATTTTCGACCTCCTGTGGCAAAGAAACCCACAATAGCTGTGAAGCCCACCATGATGACAGTAGATGGACAAGGTGTATGTGGTGAGGTCAGCTCACAAGATCTTTGTGAGAACAGGCCAGTTTTTGTAGGCTGGAACCAAAGCAGAACTGTCTCAAACAAAAAGCCACTGAATAATAACAATAATAGTGAAGAAGAAATTGAAGGTTATAGCCATGCTCGTAGGCCTTTTGGGAATAACGATGATGTAAGTAAAGCTCCAAACAACAATAATGGACTGACAGAAGTATTAAAGGAAATTGCAGGATTAGATACTCCCTCACCTCTAATAGGAGATGAAATAAATTCAAGGGAAGCATTCTTGGGAAGAATAAGCAATTGTTATAAAAAATCATTAGAAAGAAAAGTTCCTCCAAGTTGTATGACAGGCGGAATGAAAGACTGTCAAAATAAGCATGTTGTTCTGAGTGGAAGCACTGATGTCATAAGTAACGAAGGTGGACGTTTCTGTTATCCAGAATTCTCCAGTGGAGATGAGAGTGAGGATGATACTTTCTTTAGCAGTGTCCATGAAGACCATGAGAGCTGGGATGAAAGTGATGAAGAACTGTTAGCAATGGAAATTCGTATGAGGGGACAACCACGCTTTGCTAATTTCAGGGCTAATACACTATCACCTGTCCGATTTTGTGTTGACAAAAAATGGAATACTGTTCCTATAAGGAACAAGTCTCTTCAGAGGTTTTGTGCAGTCGACTACGATGATAGCTATGATGAAATTTTGAATGGGTATGGAGATGATCCTGTGGTCCTTTATGGGCAAGAAAGCATGCAAAGCATGGCCTCATCTGATTCCATGTCTCCTGACTCTTCTCTAACTGAAGAGTCTCGCTCTGGGACAGCCAGCAGTTCTTCTCAAAGGTTCTGCAATGGTGGATTATCTCCTAGCACTCCTAAAGATACCAAGGTATTTGAAGAAGAAAATAAATTTTTTTGTGATGATCAGCAACTAGTCGTGGCGAGTAAAAGCCCTCAAAATGCTAACAAAACCTTGGAGACGCACAAGGCTGTGCTTGCCCTTAGACTAGAAGAGAAAGATGTCAAGATTGCTGTTCAGAGTGATAAGCAAGAATGCCACAGCCCTTCAGGTCTGTCAGCTCCAGCAGCAGCAGCAGCAGCAGCAGCTACAAATTTGGTCCAAATGGAAGAACAAGCGAAACCTTACAGAGTAGTAAATATGGAACAGCCCATCTGCAAGCCATACACCATAGTAGATGTATCAGCAGTCATGACCCATGAATGTGTAGGGAATCAAGGAAGAAGTTTAGACACAGAAAATGGGCTGTCCAATCCAAATTCACCTGACAACCTAAATACAAATGCTACTTCTAATTCTGTATCATCTGGGCAAATAAATAGCCATCTTAAAAAATCTAGTGCAGCCAGGTACCAGGAGGTTTGGACTTCCAGCACAAGCCCCCGGCAGAAGATTCCTAAAGTGGAACTCGTCACCAACGTGCCAGGACCCTCCATACCTCTACGGAAAAACATCCATAAATCTGCCCCTACTTCACCTACATCAACAAATATTTCTGCAAAAACCATCCCTGTTAAGTCTCCTAACTTGTCTGAAATAAAATTCAATAGTTACAATAATGCTGGCATGCCACCCTTCCCAATTATTATTCATGATGAACCAACTTATGCTAGGAGTTCCAAGAATGCAATTAAAGTTCCTATTGTAATAAATCCAAATGCTTATGACAATTTAGCTATTTATAAAAGTTTTCTAGGAACTAGTGGAGAACTGTCTGTTAATAATAAAACTGCAAGTGTTATCAGCCACACATATGAAGAAATAGAAACAGAAAGTGCGGTATCAGAAAATACAGCTAGCAAATCTGCTGAACAAGCTAAAGGGTTGGCGAATAGCACTGAGAGGAGATTGGGTTCTGTAGCTCAAAAGGTTCAGGAATTCAACAGCTGTCTTGGTAAAGGTCAGACTTCACCTAAAAACTCTGGCCACATCTCCCCAACAAAAATACAAAGAGTCTTTCAAGCTCCAGTAGCCAAAATAGAAGACACACAAATGACATCTAGTGGCAGTCGAGAAAATGCCTGTACAGTGCTATCTCAGATTGTAGCTTCTATCCAGCCTCCACGGTCTCCCCCAGAAGTATCACAGAGTGGGCCCAAGTCCTGCAGTGTTGAAGAACTATATTCTCTGCCCCCTGATGCAGACCAAGATAAAAGCACCCCAGTGCGACCCAAATCTCTCTTTACAACACAGTCCAGCTCTGATGCTGAGGCAGTCCCAGAAACTGGGCCAAAGGACATCACACCAAAATCACCGGCCACCTCATCATCAAAGTCAGTGGCACTTTCCCAGAACGCCACAAGTCCCCAAACTGAGCAAGCTCCCCCATTTCCTCCACCTCGTTCTACGTCTTCCCCTTATCATGCCAGCAAAGTGTTGCAAAGACATTTCAGCAACTGGACCAAGCCAGTGAGCCCTGTCAGATCAACAGATGCTGAATCCGTTTTGCATTCAGAAGGTAGACGAGCTGTTGATGCAAAGCCCAAACGCTGGATATCATTTAAGAGCTTCTTTCGTCGCAGGAAGACTGAAGAGGAGGAGGACCGAGAAAAAGAAAAGGGGAAATTGGTGGGTCTTGATGGGACTGTGATTCATATGCTTCCACCTCCTCCTATTCAACGTCATAATTGGTTCAGTGAGTCCAAAACTGATTCCAGTGAGAAACCCTCTATTGTTTTTATGTTTAAATGTGAACAAGCAAAGATGGAGGCAAAGTCTAATAAAAACAAGACCGAGGAAGAGTCAATAGTTGAAGTTTTGCCGAGAGAGAGAGAAGAGAGAGAGAGGTTTCCAGAGATGTCAGAAGAAAACCTGAAGAGTCATTCATCACCATCTGAAGTTCTTGGAGAAATGCTCAGGTAAAATAATATAAATCCTTAATTTATTGTTCTGTTATACATTTCCTATACATTTTTTAAATGTATAGAAATAGAACGTAGATGCGCTAAGTGGGATATGGTGTTTTAAGTTCAGTGGATAGGAAAACACTGATTACCCAAAAATCTGTATTTTATCTGTTGAAGCAACGTATTTCCACAGTTCTCAGATTGATTTTGAGAAGACTGCAGGATCTGTAACATTTAGTACAAGAGTGTAGCCTTTCAGAGGTCATTGGACTACAATTCCCATCAACTATAGCCAGAAAGAGTGTGGAATTCGAACAATATCTGGAGGATCAGAAGTTGTCCATCCATTGTACTGGCTTGCTGCTTAAAGCTGCAATCCCGTTCCTTCGGTACCTGGAAAGCAAAAAGCAGAGGGACTCCTAGAACTGCAAAACATTGTTCTCCCTTCTCATATCAGACATGCTACTACTTACCCGGAAGCAGTTTGAAACATTCATTTTTAACTCCAAAACACAGACTGCTTACAGCAAAACTAGTAATGACACCAAACATGGGAATGGGCATGCAGTGTTCAAAAAGAAATATGCCAATACATTCTTCATAGATATGTGGTTAAGATATATTTCACGAAATATTGTAAAACCTGTGTCTGAGATCATTGAAAACCCATTTTATGCATTTTTAATATTAAATTCTACTGAACATGACACAGCTAACTACCGCCCAAAATGTTTATAGTATTGTAGCTGTACACTGCGCTCTAACATCTATCTAGATCTAGAAATTATGTTAAATGTTCTGTGCAATAGAATCAGAATTGAACAATGTGATAGAAATATTATAGTTAAAAGGTGATGTTGTGTTTTCCCCAATAGCTTCATGTTAACCTGCTGGTGCTATTCTTATTATACTTAAGTTTCTCAGAATATTTTTATCCTTTGTATTTATTGCCACCTAAGCGGGAGGGAAAAGATGAAAATTTTGTGAAATCTAAATAATCTATATTCTCTAACAATTTTGCAGTTCTGTTACATTTTGAATACTTGTGAGGCAATTGCTGTCTATGTGTCTCTATACACATGTGTGCATGCATGCACACATATGTATACATGAGACTAAGGTTAAATTCCAAATGATTCTAAAAGTGCTAGCAAACTAGCATTTGAATTAGTGTGAATTTGTGGTATACTTTTGGAATAGTGAAAAAAATGAAACTTTTCACTTTGAAGACTTGCTATGAAACATAAAAGGATGAAGATAACTATCAATGAACATGACATTTGTCTGAGAATGCCCAGCACCATAATGTTCACTGAGAAATCAAATTGATGGCCTAGAAATAAAGTAAGATAAGGTTATGAAATGTCAGATTGATGGGGGTCCTGAAGGCATATCAGCACAAAAAACTAAGATTTTTGTTTATTTTTTCCTCCTGCAGTGTGTTAGATTAGGAAAGGTGGTAGTGAATGATAACAGTGGGCTACAGATATTCAAAGTTATGTTTGTGACATCTCTAGAAACACCATTTCATCATGTCTGGAACACCTGCAGAATATGTCAGATTAAGGAAGAAACATCTGTACTGTAGTTGAATAACTTTGACCAGAAGCCATACAACTGTCTATTTTAGCTGTTGGCTTTCTATTTTTTTTTCCTTAGAAGTCTGCACTCAAAGAGTTAATTAGTAATTTACAATCAACACATGAGGATCATTCCTTCCATAGTGCTTTTCTTTGGATATCATGGCTCAGAGTCCTACAACTTCAAAGATTTTCTTTCTACAGTCAGAACCTCAGAGGTCTTCTACCAAATTAATGAGACTTCTTACCGATGAGGAGTGAAAGGAAACCCTTCAGTGAGAGAGACAAGGCACTGCCTGGGGTGACGAATGCCGAAATGTTTGATATCCTCCTTCTAAGCCCCCAAAGAACTGTCAGATCAATTTTATGCACATTTACTTGGGATTATTAAGTTCAGTGAGGCTTATTCCCTATCTAGTGTACATAAAGTTTTGGCTTAAGGGTGCAAAGCTAGGCAAGTATATTTGGGAATAAACTTTATTGACCATAGTGGCACTTTCTAATAAAAATGCATGGGTCTGGTTTACAAAAGGGTTTTCTGTGGAGATGAGCTTATGTCTATTTCTATTCATTGGGTGGTGGGAGATGCTCCTGATATGCAAAAACACTAACAAGACATCAGAAGACCCAGCTTGTAAACAACCAATATTCTCATGCATATTGCTGAGCTGATCCTGATTCAACTAGCACAACATAAGGAACTTGGAGAGGTGAAGCCTTCGCGAATACATTGTAGTATTAGTATTTTAATAAAGATGTCTTAAAGTGTTTTAATGTCAATTGCAGTTTAATACTATAACGGGTTGAACAATATTTTAATATTTGTAACTTGCTATGTTCTAGTATTACTATTTTCTAGCTGTCTTGGGTACTAGACAAAGAGAAGTGTGGATAGGTATATAGTAGATATATAGAAACTAAAATAAATTCTGTTTACAGTAGGAACAGCTGACGGGTCTCTTTTATCATCAAATGTGAGCTGTTATTTCAGATAGAAAATAAATGGGCCAAAAAAGGGAAGTCACCTGTATTTGAACAATATACTAGATAATCCAGTGCAAAGTCCTTTTGTTTGTTGAGCTGTTACCACTATGTGTGGAAGCTGTTGGGCAGCATGTCTCAGCATGCTGCTTGTAACGATGATCCAGGTTCCCGCATCTCCCTAGCTTATCATGTCATTTAACCATGGCTATTATGTTCCCTTAGTAAGTTAAACTGTAAGCAACTTGAATGAATCTGGTAAGAGGGCAGAAGAAACCTAGAAGGCCAGATGAGCAGCAGTTGGGCAATCACCAGGTGATGTCTAATATATAGATCTCTGATAGACTCGAAAAGAGGTCAGAGGGAAAGGATTGGCCCACTGCTTATTCTTATTATGGTGACCTTCATTTTATCCTCAGAATCTTCTTCCTAGATACTATATAAGAGCTCTCTTCCAGTTGAAAGGCCAGGGGTGTGCTAAACTTCACAATAGCTCTCTTGTCTGTTCTGACTAAGAAGAATGGGCTTGTGTACATGTAGAATGCTATTATATTGCACACACAGCCTAACCTTCTTCAAGGAGATAAAATTGTTCTGCGAAGGTTTATCCTGTCCTAGTATCAGCTGTGTAAGTTAAATAAAACTGGGATAGGGACTTCCCAAAAGCCACCCTGTAAGCTTCATTGAGCACACACACCTTTAGTCCAATACCATCTTTTACGTCTGTTCATCACACACTCGTTTTCACTCATCACTTTTTGGTCTTTCTAGCAAGGATGGGAAGTATGTGTCCTTTGAAATGTTGGACTGCACCTCCCACCATCCCTTCTTGCTAGTTATGCTGCCAAGGCCTAACGTGAATTGCACTCTAGAAGCATCTGGTGGACCTTTATGGCATTATCTCTCCAAAATACATAATTTTGGGGCTAGAAATGTGCCTTTGTTATCTGTGAAGATTCTCAGTCATCCAGGTGAGGTTATCTGGAAGTTGAGTCATGGCAACTGGACTTTTTTCTTATTAGGTTGAAACATTTTGCTACTCATCCAAGTAGCTTCTTCAGTCTGAGGAGAGTTGGTAGGCGATCCCTGATATATCCTCCCTGTTGGTTTCGCTTCCCCCTGTCTAAATGGCCTCTCCCAATTTGAAGAGACCCTTGTCCAGCAGGCCAAGACAAAGAGGCAGACCCAAAATCAGAGAGCTGGACAGGGAACAGATTGTACTTGTCTTCAGTGTGAAAGGGATGGTCACTCTCGAATTGGCCTTCTTAGCCACACTAGATGCTGTTTCAAGTCCTCCATACGGAGCACGTTACCATAGTCTCTTGAGACTGAAGGATGCCTAATCTAAATCTAAGGTCTGAATAGACTTGTTAGAAGGACAAAGGACTGGGGCTGAGTGAAATTCCCACTTCTGCAGTCTTTCTCCATTGTCATGGGTTGTTAACGAGTAACAGTGATCTTTCTGTTGTGTGTGGTCCCAATCTTCCTGAGGACCGATAAAAGGGCAGCATGATAAATAGGAGACAGATTGTATCTAAGGCCTCCGCCCCTGTTGAGTGAGGGATTTACTATATGCACATGTATGGCCTCCCTGACCCCTCTGTCCAAAATGGTCCTACCAACTCTCCTCAGACTGAAGAAGCTACTTGGATGACTAGCAAAATGTTTCAACCTAATAAGAAAGAAGTCCAGTTGCCATGACTCAACTTCCAGAGTGCTTTTGCTATGTGTGATATTGAGTAATTCATAAAGAGCCTCAGGCTTTTGTTACAAGCTAACCCAGAATTGGGTATATGTTTGAGTTGTTCTGCAGGTTTTTCCAGTTGCTTGTCCATCTCTCTCTAAAGCAATGAATATCTTTGCAAATTCCTTAACATGAGACAGTGTCTTCCATTAAATGAATGTCACTTCCCACAAACAAATGGAGCTGGGTATTTTTATGTGATTAGTCCAACAAGGTTCTGTAATTTGTCAATGTCAGTCTTTTGCTCAGTTCTTCTAAGATTCAAGGTATGCAGCCTTTACTCATTGTCAACTTTGCATGTAAGAACAGTGGTGAAAATCTTTACTTGCACAATGTGAAATGATATGAGGAACTGCTAGATAGCTCAGTGGCTTAGGCACCTGGCTTGCGGAGCCAGAGGTTGGGAGCTTGGTTCCCCGCTGTGCTTCCTTGACAACGGCTGGACTCTGTGATCTATAGCAGTCGTCCCCAACGTTTTAAACACCGTGGACCAGTTGGGGAAGGCGGGGCATCTTCCCTCCTTCACAGGGAGGCAGAAACTCTATCAGAATTACAGAAACAAAAGTGATTTCGAGAGAGAGTTGTTCATACCGTATGTATTAATAAACTGACATTCTCCACTATCTAGCCACATCTTCCAAGCCTCAGGTAGACCATTCCTTCTGTAGAGGAAGCTTGGTCCACCCACACAATCCAGCTAGGCCAGCCCCATCTGGGCAAGAGGCCAGGTCTACTGACTCCTGAGTAGACCTGCCATCTGCTGCATCAGCAGAGTCTGGCGGCCCAACCCTTTCATATGTTTTTCCCTTGAATGGTAATGTCGCCTACCCAATGTCAATATTAACCCCAATAGCCCAGTCAATTGCTCTTTTTTTTCCTGTGGCAGTGGACCAGGCTGCCGGGCCAATTTTGGACTTCCGGAGGACAGAATGGGCCATCTAATTTTGACCCTCTGGTGCAACATCCCAGTTGCAGCCCCATTAAGAGGTGCAGGAGCTGCCACCACCAATCAGAGAATAAGCAATGGTCTGCCCTTAGCATAGGATTGAGATCTTCAGAGTGGGAGGAGGAAACATTTCTGGGAGTTCGGTTCCCCCCGTGCCTCCTTGATGGGCTGGACCCAAATGATTAATAGCCTCTTTTCCAGCTCTGCCATTCAGAGGGTAATGTCTGAGGGCCAGAAAAATTACTTTTTGTATACAAACATTTTCCTTACATCTACAGGTGCTTTAACATGTTAGATAACTTCAGAAAGCTCCTGGCAGTGATGGAAGGATTTTGAGGGATAGGATTTTACACTATCAAGTAAATGTGTTTTAAAATGTTGTACAGAAATATGTGTCAAAATTCATGGCCTGCTTTTCTCACATCTCATCTCTTGGCTGCTGCAGCTGAAGGCAATAAGTTTAGCAATTTCCAAATCTGCCAGCTGCTTGTGCTTATATTTCCACACACAAATGGATTCTGTTCCTCTATATCTTAGCCACTGAAAGATTTACGAAAGGCCTAGTTAAAATAGAGGCCATGTAAAACTTTTCCAATTTGAAATTCTAGTCTCATTTTAACACAATTTTTAACACCAGTCATGCCATAGATGATGTGTATTCTTAGTGGATGCTTATGGACAGTAAATGAACAAGATAGTTCCTGAGACTTTATCATTGTTTTTTTCCTGATACCTGATTCAGAGGACATTGCCATTGATTTGAGTTTGGTACATAGAGACATTCGCTGCATTTAGTGAAAACATTCTCCATGTGTCACTAATGTAACTGGCAGTCATTTCTTTTTCTTTAAATGAGATTAAATTGTCCTTCATCCCTTTGGCAGATCTATTTGCTTCAATGAGCTCATTAAGTTTGTATGGATGGGGTTTTTTGCACCTGCTAGAGAGCGAATATGTGTATCTTTGTAGACCGCTATTCCACATATGTTGTATGTTGATAGAAAATCAAATGTTAGTTCACTGTTCCTTAACTGTTTGTTTTTCATATTTTTCATATTTACTGTCTGAGGAAGGCCAATATGCATGGTCATTTCCCCATGATCCCTGTTTTCATTAAGAGTGCTACAAGACATGTTAGGATGAGAATGGATGACTGCTCAGGTACATCCAGTAATCTTTATGGATGAGCAGGAACTCGAAAACCTGACCTTCTAGCCATTTCATACAATGGCACTCCATTTCATGACTTCATCATTTTAACTCTGAAAACATTCAATGCAAACTCTGGCTACGATTTATAGTACACACATTTGTCTTTTTTGTAGGTGCTACCATTTAACACCCTGATTGCTTATGTTTCTGAATTGAGCCCCACATATAATCTGAGCTGAATCCTGAGCTAAATGGTAACTGAGGGACACAAAATTTTGTAGGAAATCGTGAGTTTCTTCATTTCCTTTTTGGTCACATGCACTTGTGTGCCAGTATCACTTCTTCATTAAGATAATCCCTGTGATCCACATGCAATGAACAATTACCAGTCCTCCAAGCAGAGTGAAAAACAGAGGATAAGGAATGTTCCTGGTGACAGCTTCACCACCACCTACTGCATTAGTTTCTTTAACTGGATAGAAAAGAAATTTGGCCTCTTTATGTTCAGAGACTATTCATTAACTACAAGTCTTACCTACTGCTTTAACGGAACTTGTCTTCTTTCTTCTTTTTTTAAAAAAAAACAATGAATGGAAATAAAAGGAAATGATTCTTGTGTCCACCAAGTCTGATTTAAAAATAGATGAGCAACCCTGTTTTGTTTGTGTAGTCATATTTTAAAAATACATCCATATACTGTATGTTCTTTGTGGCCATGACATAGCAGCTGCTCTTTTAAGCTGTGTCATCTAACTAAACTATAGCAGTGACCAAATAAAACAGTTCTAGAACAATGTAAGTTGTGTGCTATGTGCCAAAGTAAGGAGAGAGTTAAGAGGGCAGGGCTTTAAGTTTGCTTGCGCTAGTTTTCGTAAGGTGTCTTGGCACATTCCCCAGACAATCCCCTGGAGGTAAACATCAAGGTGCAGTAGGTGATATCATTCCTTGCAGACTAAGCTTTGTTGCTCACAGCTTTGCACAACTTGTAGCTCACCAGGCCCCAGTGGAATAAATGCTTCACCAGAGTTTCGAGACATGATTAAAAGGTTCAAGAAGGCTCTGAGAGAATTGTCTTTAATGGGGAACTGTGTGAGTGAGTATAGTGGGTGAGTTCCTTTTCTTTTCTCCTTTTTCCTCTCCTCCTCCCAGTTGTTGATTTACTTTGGCAGCGTATTTCTCTAAAATATACCTAAAAGAGGTTCACCATGTGGAGCCTTAAGAATGAGCCTATTCTGGACTTAACCGAGAAATACAAAATGGTTTTCAGACACTGTACTCTGTAACTATGTAGAATTCTTGTTTCAAAATCACCCAAATGTTAGAAGACGGTTGCTTTGAAAGAACAGCTATCTTTTGGAGAGCATACCTTATGATAAGGGGAAAGGAAGAGGTAAACATAAAGTCAGCCTCCATTCCCTGTGGTTTCCAAAGTGAATTTACGACTTCCCACTGGTTTGATTTTTGAATGTAACCTAATGTGTGAAGTGATCTAGGCTAACCCATTATTTGGCTGCATTTTGTTTTTGCACTGTTCCGCTGCATGTTGAGAAAATAATTATTACTACCAACAGTAAGATGAGGAAAAAATGAACTTTACCTTTTTGTCTCAATTTGCTTATGTGGGTCATTTGTATGTCAGCATTTAAACACCCCAAAGTGTGAAATGGAACATGTGAGTTTTTACACTATGTGAAAATGAAGGGAGCCTTGCTGGTCTTAAATTGCAAATTACTTGGACACTGCATTTTGTCCTTTGCTCTGCCTTGTTTGGGTTGCAGTCTTATGCCAACACTCACATGCTGACCTCTGATTTGCATTCTTTGAATACATGAAACCATCCAGCTATCTATAAGAACCTGTTTTTACAGTTGGACAGCATTTTCAAAGATTGCTACCCTTGGTGGTTGGAATCAGTTACTTTAAATGCATTTAGGTTGAATCAGTCACCATCTCTGAAGGACCAATGTAGTCAATGCACTTTTCTTTGCTGGGATCTGTAACTGTTTCAGTACAGTATTCCTCTCTGAGTGATAGGGTGTGCATTCTTCATAGTAAAGCCTTTGTGAATACCTTAAGCAGTAGTTCTCAACTTTTTGAGTAGTAGGACTGCCAGTTACTCTATTGAGAGAAAATAAAAGAAGAAAAGTCTGGCCTCCAGCATAATAGAAACAAAAAGCCCAGGGTTCCAAGCGTGGCATTTATGGTTGTTGTGGGTTTTTCGGGCTCTTTGAGCATGACGAAGAGAGCACGGACAGAGTTCCTACTCCAGTCCTCTGAAGATGCCGGCCACAGAGACTGGCAAAACGTCAGGAAGAACAACCTTCAGAACACGACCAAAGAGCCCGAAAAACCCATAACAACAACAATCAGATCCTGGCGGTGAAGAATAGAGTGGCATTTATGTTTACAGGTATTGTGTTGCTATCGTTATCAATTACATCAAATTGTAAAGCAAAATTACATTAGCATTATTGACAGTAAACACAAATAAAGGTAAACATTTCATGAGTAGTTGAAAATTGCAATACTACTGATGAGTATTTTATTTTAATCGTGACTGACCGTTTTACATGCCAAAAGGTCACTAATGGGCAATTTGTAACAGATAGAGGGGCAATAGGAGAGAGAGCAGCATATGTTCAGAAGGGGGGGGTTAAGAGAGGGCACATTTTTAGTAATTGTTAGGAAAGCTATAATTATTTTGTATTGCACCAGTGGAAGGTATACCACCAGTTGTCATTGTAGTATCGTAACCTTCAGTGTTTCCTTACCCAACTTATAGTTATATAATGTCATGCTAAATTTTTACTAGTTAGTGCTGGTTGGATACTGTGGACCATTCAGTTTATTAAAGTTAAGACTTAAGCCCTATAAAGAACTTGCATTGATAAAGTTCCACTTAAATGTTTGGTAGAATCCTAAGTAGCAAAACACAGAACCTTAGGCAGAACCCTAAGCAGCAAAAGCAGTGAATCATGTCCTTTTACCCAATTTTATTCTTTTAGTCAGGTGCCTGATGAGCAAACTGTGGAAAATCTGTCCCCTCGGATTCCAAGATCTACATTGGAGAAGCAGGACAGTGGCAGTAATGCATCCCTCAGTCCACTGACCCCTCCAGAAATACCACATGGGGAAGAGGAAAGGGAGGAAGCGTCTGATTCTTCTGATGTGAGCGCCTGCAGTGCTACATACAGTAACTTGGGTAAGCACTTTGCATCTGCATGGAAGTGTAAACTGCAGCTCAGTTTTGTTCCTCCTGTGAGTCTCAGTGTTACTTGCGCTACTGTACTGACTTAGAAAACTCTTTGTACATATATGCAAATGTTTCATGTAATTAGAGGAACACTTAGATCAGGAAAGTGTTGTAGCTCTTTCAGAGGTACTTGTGGAAGCTAAGATAGACACAGTATTCTCTATAATTCCTAAACATTTGAAATCTCTGGTTTAATTTTAAAATGCTATATGTTTCCCTTAAGTTAAATGTTGATTAATTCCCCTTAAAAATAATATTACCCAGTTTGCAGTGACTTTACAGATAGTTCTACTGGGGTCATGCAAATTGCATTAACATATTATCATAATATATCTAGGTTATTTACTTTCTTTTTCCTACCTGTCTTATTATTTTAAAAAAAGTCATTTCACTGTCTGGTATTTATAGAACATTTGGCACACTACATAATGTTTTATGTGTAGTAATAACAGTCAACACTTGTGTAAGGCACCTCATGTATATTATCTTAGTAACTGATACTGTTTTATATATAACTGTGAATTGACTATGTGTAGCAAGACTTGAAATGTTAGTCTACAGATCTTGCAGAGCAGAAGAACCACACATGTCTGCATTTATTTCTTACTCATATGAGACATGTGGTGCAATCTTTTGTCCTGTCCGTATCATTTTTGCTGTGGTGGATAATTGGACCAAAATATGGCCCATGCAATTATGCTTTTCCCTCAAAAACCTATCATGCCTTCAAGCCACTGTAAATATTTGGGTGGGTGGCTATTCTAGCATTAATTTTACATCATGCATTCTATACTGCATTTTAATAACAAACATTTGTGTTTTTTAGCAGTAGCAGCAACACAACCATAAAAGTAAAAAAACAGCTTCCCATGAGAGATGAGATAATGATGCTTCTTTCATTTTCATAATTAAAACATTCTTAGATACAGCATATATGTATATTTTTAAATCGCAGATACCCTGAATGTTTTATTTGCTTTACCCAGGGCAATCCAGGGCAGCTATGATACCTCCAAAGCAACCACGGCAGCCCAAGGGGGCTTTGGATGATGCCATTGCTTTTGGAGGGATGTCTGATTCAGAAATAGCTACAACTTTACATCGAACACCACCGCCACTGCCAAAGAAGACTATTTTAAGAGCTCACACAGAACCAGTTCCAAAAGAACACCAGAAACAGGCCCTTGAAAACAGCGTGCGTCTGATGGCCAACCCTACCTATGACATCGACACCAACTGGGAAGCGAGCAGCGCATGCTCTTCGGTCAGCTCAGAATTCAAGGCCGTGGACAATGAGTCTGGAGATTCCCTGGATCGGCCCCCAGAAAAAGGACGGTCGCTCTCCTCCACGGCCAATAGTTTTTCCAGCCTTACTGCTATCAGTATTAAAAACAGAGGTTCTAATAGCACAGAGTCTCTGACAGGCAGGCCTGTCGTCTACAGCAAGGTGGGCAAGGCTGTCCAGAAGCCACAACGACATGCACTTTATAGAGGAATTGAAAACAGAGGAGAGGTGGTAAGCAAAATCAGAAGCCTTCACACTGATTCTCTGAAGAAGCTGGCTGTCAGGTGTGAAGACCTGTTCATGGCTGGACAGAAAGATCAGCTTCGTTTTGGGGTAGACAGCTGGTCAGGCTTCAGATTAACCAGTGACAGGCCGTGCTGTGAAGCAGGCGATACAGTCTACTACCCAGCTTCTTACGCAAAAGATCCACTCAACAACTATGCTATCAAGGTAAGGAAATGGTTGAGCAATAATCACTCGACCAACTGCTCTACTGAATTTGCATTGTGGTCTGTTAACATTATAGTTACGTTTTGCTAACTAAAAGACATGCTGTTTCATGATCCCTGCTGTCTAGCATCCTGATCCTAAAAATTTATATCAGAATAACAGCATTCTCATATAAATGTGGAGCCATGTTCTGGTTTAGATGGTTATGTGTTCTGTTGCAAGTATTTATTTTCTGGTACAGCAAATCTTAGGACCATGCTATTTCACATGTACATTGCATTCCATACGTCTCCAGGATGGCCCTGAGAAAATGCCCTCTACTGACCTTTCAGAAATGCAGTGAGTAAATGGCTTAATACCACAGATTCCTCCGTTTTGCAAATTGAATAATTTAGCACTGGGCCTCTAGCTTCCTTTCTTAAAGGTTTCTGACTTCTAAAAAGTACATGCATTCCGGTCTCTTTGGCATAGTCACATTAGCATTTATATCTGTTTATTTAAGCAGCATACATTTTTGCAGTAGCTAGCTTGTGTTTGTATGCTTGTTTTTTAATTATATTTTAATTATATATTTAAAAATATGTGAGGGTTAAATATAGAAAAAAATGAGTTACAAAGAAATCATTAAAAAGCACACTGATATAGTCTCTGGTAAAAGTGTGGGGAATATGCCATTTAATCAGTAATTTAAGACCACTGCTTTCATTGTAATACCTCAGCTATTTCAATTTTCTTAAATACAATTATGTTTCATTATATGGAAATCTGCCATAATATTTAGTTCTATACTAACATCTGGATTTCTTGATTGGAATCTGACAGAAAAATTTTCAAATACTTTCTAAGGAAAAAAAAAATCAAGTGAGTTAAATTCAGTAGAGTTCAAGTGCTATGTTTTCCCTGTACATCCTGTTATAGATCTTTGCATTTTAAAAGCATATTTGTGTTGAGAACAAAACATTAAACTGCCACATCATTAACCTGAAAAATTACTCAAGTGCTGTGAATTCATAATTCTGTACTGCTAGAAAAGGTTCACAAGTTGGAAAGCAGGCACAGAAGGATCCTATGAAGATGCAAGAGCTATACACCACATGCCACATATTCAGCAGGTGCTGTTGTATTGATTTATTTCTGTGGCACGGAGCCCAGTTTAGCTAACTGAAATCATGGATCCCATTTGGTCCTGGTACAAACAAGGTTAATTGATTTCTTTGAGAAACTGATAGTATAATTTCTATTTAACACAACAGGTTTATTTTTTTAAAATGAAATAAGGCATGGTTGGTTTTAAAACAAAGTCTAAATATTACTCACTGCTATCCTGTCAAAATACACAAATTATATGTTCTACCCAGCGTTGTGCACGAGTGTAGTATTTGTTGTTCCTAAGTTCAGTTGGGAAGGGTATTATCACGTATACCAGAAATAAACCCCAGTAAAAGCTTACCTTGTTTTGATAAGATAGGTCAGGTGATGTGATAAGAGTATTGCTATACTTGCTAGAAGGGTAAGTCTTTTCCACACACAAAAATGCAGGAAACAGTATGGATGTGAATGAAATAATGTGAACTTTAAAATGTGATTTGTTACTTATTACCGTTGACCAAGGATGTCTTTACAGAAGCTTTTTTAAATTATTTGTAATAGAATCAGCAATTGTTAATAGAGATGGGGGTATTCGTATACGAATACAAATTTCCCCGCATAGGTGACGTTAACAAGGGGCGGGCCCCATGGGGCCGGACCCTCGTTAAAGCCACCTGTGCAGGGATATTCGTATACGAATACCCCCATCTCTAATTGTTAGTGGTAAACTTCTGCATTCTACATAGTGAATGCAGACGTTTGCCTGTGAAGCCTGGGTTCAGTCCATTGTCATCCCTTGCATTCTTCAATGCTGTGGGATTGCTGGGTTACCTAAGATTGGGAGATCTCTGAGATGCCGTAGTTGTTATTTACGCATTCTCCTTTCTAAGAGCCTTGCAGTGCCTCATGTTTTCACCTTTGCTGACCACAGTCCAGATGGAGAAAATGATGAGTAAATCAGTGGTTTCAGTCAGGCTTGCCCCATTTTCAAAAAGAGGTTAGATAATATGTAAGTAGTTTTACCATTCACCTGCACTTGGTACGCATTGTCTTTTTAAAAAATGACATTTTTCACACTTCTCAGGACCAGCATTCAGCTCATTCAGGGTACGCCTGAAATCCTTCCTTCATTCCTGCCATTTGTATTGGAAATTGTTTATATAGCAAGTATTCACGTAACTTCATTTTTTACTATTAAGAACAGTTTTAGTGGGCAGAGCTTTTTAAAGTTCGTCTTGCTCTTACTGTCTGAAGTAAGTGGACACGGTGAAGGATACCCTTTAAATTATCTCATTTAAAGCCACTTTCTCTCTTTTTTTCCTCTCTTCTTCCTTTAGATTTGTAAGAGCAAAGCTAAAGAATCCCAGCAGTATTACCACAGTTTGGCTATTCGTCAAAGCCTAGCTATTCATTTTAACATCCAGCAGGACTGCGGCCATTTCCTAGCTGACGTGCCTGTGCGCCTCCTTCCGTGGGAGGATCCCAATTCACCTGAAGAAGAAGAAGAGGAACAGGAAGATGATGAGCAGAAGATCAAAGAGTGCCCCTCCCCTATGGAGGCTTCTCAGAAAGAAGGTTCAAGTCTGCAGGGCACAATCAGCAAGCAGCGCAGCAGGGTGGTGGTGATCACCCGAGAGGTACCATATCTAACAGTGGCGGACTTTGTACGAGAGTCTTTGGATCGCCATGCCAGCAGCCCAGATCTGTATGAAAGACAAGTGTGCCTCCTACTCTTGCAGCTGTGTTCTGGTCTAGAGCACTTGAAACCCTATCACATCACACATTGTGATCTACGTATGGAGAACCTCTTGCTGGTGGACTACAGGCCAGGGCGTAGCCTTTTGAGCTGTGAGTCTGTGGAGCCAAACCCCACCGCTGCGTGTCCTGCTCGGCTTATAATAAGCAATTTCTCTCAAGCCAAACAGAAGAGCCACGTAGTGGACCCAGAAGTCCTAAGGGACCAGTCCCGCCTTGCCCCAGAGATCATCACAGCAACACAATATAAAAAATGTGATGAGTTCCAGACTGGCATTCTCATTTATGAAATGTTACACCTGGCCAACCCCTTTGATGTAAATCCAGAGCTGAAGGAGAAAGAGTACACTCGTGCTGATTTGCCCCAAATCCCCTGTCGTTCACTTTATTCCCTTGGGCTTCAGCAGCTTGCTAACTGCTTGCTAAACCCTAACCCATCAGAGAGAATCCTTATATCTGAGGCCAAAGGAGTACTTCAGTGTTTGCTTTGGGGTCCCCGGGAGGACGTGTTTCAGACTCTCAATACCTCTTCCAGACCAACACAAAGAGAGACTGTGCTTCAAAACTGGCTGGACATCAAACGGACGCTGCTGATGATCAAGTTTGCTGAAAAGTCTTTGGACAAAGAATGTAAAGTCAGCCTTGAAGACTGGCTTTGTTGTCAGTATCTGGCTTTTGCCACTACAGACTCACTCAGTCACATAGTGAAAATCCTGCAGCAACACTAATTCATACGTGCTGTTGCCTTCACTTGGATATTTTCTTTGCTCCATGCCTCTTACTGTATGCATGTGTTATAATTCTAGTCTAGGTCTCAGAGTTGCCAACACTGAGCAGACTGATCTCTGTAGATGCAAGGAAGAGGCCAAACACTTATCATCTAGTAAAGCTAGTTGTGTGATTGGATAGGGAAGTACAGGAACTTAATAAGGAAACCACTATTCTGATATTACGGTTCCTGTTTCACAGTATGCCCATCAAGTTCTGTGGGAAATGTGTGTGCTGAGATGGCAGCATCCAGGAATGATTACAGAGATGAGTATGCAGCGCGTCATGAAGGAGCCTCCAGAATATAAGCACTTTCACAGAGATAGGCCCTCTGTCTCATGATCTGCCAGGCATGCCCATGTTGGGCATGAGTCAACGTCAGCCAGTCATACTTCCTTTTGAGGTAGTTTTGTTTGATCTTTTCCAAAGGGTCATATGACTACAAAAGGGGGCAGGTGTCATTTTTAGTCAGCTGCATCCTGGACAAATTGTTTTTTCTCTTTTCTTTCTTTTCTTGCTGAGGGGCAGATGGTATATTATAGGCAAAGCCTCAATTTTTACAACTAAAAAACAACATTGAAAAGCTAGAGTTCTGAGTATAGTGCAAGCAAGAAACAAATACTTAACCCTTTTCCCTCCTGGCAGTTTTCTTATTCCCATTCGCCACCACCCCTCCCTTCACAGAGTTCCTGATGCATGCTCATTCTTCTAATACATCATTTTCTCTTGCTTTGGCCTTCACTAATCCTGAATTATGATTTATTAATTCTGGCCAGAAATCTGGCAAGGTTTGTGTGCTTCGCTTTTTGTTAGCACACATAGATTCATAGAATAATGGTGTTGGAAGGGGCCTATAAGGCCATCTGGTCCAAACTCCTGCTCAATGCATGACACAATAGTTCTGCAGAAGTTATTGATGGGCTATTAATTATTACAGTAGAAAAACACAGGAGCAATTAAAGAGAATATGTATTAAGAGCAACTCTTAACAGGCAGGTTTGTCCTGAGCCAAGGCAAAAAAAAGACCAACATTTTGTGCCTGCTTTGCAACCATGTGTGGCATTTTGCAAAGTGAAGTGAAGGCTAGACATACTGGTGAAGCAGTAGTGTTTCTTAGAATTCACCTATGTATAACAAGTAAATTGTGTAGAGGAAGGCAGATTTTCTGCAGCCACAACTCTCTTTGAGCATAGAAAACAAGGGAGCAGAATACGATGTGCAGTTGCCACAAGAATAGCTATACTTGGCAGACACATTTCAATGGTATTCTGTTCTGGTTCCCTCTGTGCAGAATTTGGCTGCAGAGTTAGTATCCATAACTGGCGTCTGGATACTTTAGGGATTGCTGTCAGTATTCAGAATCTGCTAACATTGTTCTGAAGGGGTAGCCGCATACTTAAAAGATGTTACATAAACAGTACCTACTGCTTCAAGGCGTGTGTGGCCTCTGGACCCTGCCGCTGTCTTCCTTTCCTACACTTCCTTTTTGTGTGTGGTGGCATTCCAGTCCTGCTGTATCTGATCTCTCTGCTCAGTATTGGTTGTTTGGTTTGCCTAGTTCTGAAATAATGGAACTGCAGCCTGACATGGAATTTCCCCCAGCTAGGGGTGGTAGTTGGAACACAAGCAGCTCTTGTGTCAAGTCTGTGCTTCTTCTCTGGATATATGTGCAATTTTTGGATGTATTGTTTTTTTGAAAAAAACTCTTAGTGTTTACATTGCATAGCAGACTTATCCATATGTTAGACCTGCCTCCTTTTCTTTTGTGGCACATGGGTGCACAAAGTAACGTGTGCTCATTCTCTAGATTGGCGTTTCTTTATTGTTTAACTGTGACTCGCCTGTTTACTTCACCTTTGAAGACAAATAGCCACTTTGAACAACATGTGCATGTTTGGACCAGAAACTAAAAACAATCCATCAGGAATTAGCTCAGCTTTTTCAGCTCCATACTCTTGGAGTTTGGTGTGGATTTCCCACTGATCTCGGCCAGGTAGTTCATGGAAACCTGAGCCCAACAGAGAACATACAGCAGCTTCATAAAAGGCTTTGAATCTTCCTGCTTCCATATCCATTGGTTATTAACAAGGTTAAAGATAATGTCTGTGAATGCCTCTTATATTGCTTTAAAGCAGGGGTGAGCAACCCATGATAAATCATGTGCCTGGAAGCCTCCTTGAACTATCATTCATTTTCAGACTTTGTAGGAGGCATTTGACAGCAGAAGTGGACTTTAGATCATTTTTTTTTTTGTTTTGGCTTGAAAAGATTATGTGGTCCACAGCAGACCTTGGGGTAGAGCTAGCCCTGGACCTGCCACAGAAGCTTTCCCCTGCTTTAAAACAAAAGTGTAAATGGTCATTTGTATGAGGGCATCTGTAGTGGCGTATGAAGAGCCACATGCACAGATGCCCAAGATGTGGGTTTTGTTGTGGGCCACGAAGGCCTTCAAAAGAGAGCCACTTGTTGCCATTGCTTTACAGGTGTATAACAGAATCCTCTTGGTAGCCTTGCACAAACATATGCATTACAGGGGGGGAGTGATGCTTAGCATTGAGTGCATGTTGCTTATAGCCAATCACCTGACCTTCTCGTTGGCTCTGTAGAGGGCAGTGCTTCTTCCTCAGTTTAAGGTATGCTTTTCAGTGATACCTGTATTGCACATAAATTTTCACTTAACCAGCATGTTTATACTAGCAACACATGGACTACTGACCGCTGTGGTAGGCATATTAGTCCTTTAGGCCACTTGCTATATTTTTGTATATAAAGGTATGTATGTTTTGTTACATTCATATTGACATACACATGCAAAATAGACATATGAATGTTTTTATGACCATGCATAGTTTATGCAGCAGATCCCAAAATGTTGTACGTTAGCCTGATTTCATTTTTCCTTTTGATTGCAGTTTTAACCCAGTATTAGCATTGCTTAAACATGAGAATACACTCACTGCCATCTCCTCGTGTGGTATTGGGTGAACCTTGGTAATGAAGGATAGGAATGTAAATGTTTTGTAACAATGAATGTGTGTGTGTTTGTGTGTGTGTGTGTGTGTGTGTGAAAGAGAGAGAGAGAGAGGCAATTGGTCCAGCAGACATAAATGCAGGCTAGCCAGAGTTTCTATTTTTGGTGGAGCCTGGGGTTATTTTGGCAAACATTCTGTTGAAGCCTCCTTCATTTGTCAGGTCTGTTAAAAAACAGGCCAAATCATAGATACCAACAGAAAAAAGGGAGAACAATATAGTGTTACAGTATAATTTCTGAACAAAATAAAAAACATTGTTGCCCCATAATTGACTGCTGGAAGCATCAAGGATTGAATCTTAGATACAGAGATACACATTCACAGCATCTGTGTTAATTAAGCATTTCTAATTGAGCTCACTACAAAAGACTGATTCCTAAACAGCTCTGTTAACCATAGATTTACATACATGCATATATACATTCAGACATACAAAATATATCTGTGTGCGTACGCACACAAAATTATGAATATACAGTATATGTCCAGAAAACTGCCTCTCAGCTTATTTTAGCTCAGTATCAGCAGGTTTCCTAAGGGCATATATATACATATGTATGCGTACACACACAAAATTATACACATACAGTATATGTCCAGAAAACTGCCTCTCAGCTTATTTTAGCTCAGTATCAGAAGGTTTCCTAAGGGCAGACAAAACATCTCTGGTATTTAAGTATTTGAATATGTACTTCCTGGACATACTTTCAGTGTTATTAACTTTTGTGGGGGCAGCAGTCTGGGTCAGTGATTAATTGCACTAAGAACAGTGCCTTCTCACAGATTAAAAGTTCGGAGGGGGGACAGTTCTGTAATGGGAATTGCCATTGCTAGGTACAAATTTATTAACAATATCCCCATACTTAAAAGAAAGAAAGAAAATAATACTTTTCACCAGAGGCAGAGTTAGGAATTTAACCAAAAGAACTCTTCAGTCCATGGGTTCTTTTGATGTTACTGAAATGCCAAAATAAAAAAAAATAGAGGGTATTTTCCAAATCTATATGCACCAAAAAGCAATTGTGTTTAAGTTTTAAAAGAGAGAGCCAGTTTCCTCTGCTTCAGCATATATTGAGAAGGGAAAAAAACCTGAGGCAGCTTTATCATTTAGTCCTGAAGGTGCCCCAATAGTTTTTGTTTTGCAATATTCTATTTCATATTCGTTATACAAGATGTGTTGCATGAACTGGCTAGGCAACCCCAGATTTAAAGAATCTGTCAGACAATTTTGTTCTGCTTTGAGCTTATGGAGATAACATAAAATCTCATGCAGGTCTTCCTACAAATACCATTAATAAAAGTATCACTCACTCTTGTCTTCATATTGCATACATGGATCATATGACGCTTTTTGTTGTTTTTGTTAAGAAGTACTTTACCCTGGCTATGCAGCGGTGCTGAGAAAACATGAAAACATGAGAAGCAACATGCAAAAGAGGAGCCGTTTCCTTAAAATGAAGCCATTCAAGATTTACTTAAATTAAAATAATAGAGGACTAATAATGCAATGATAGAGAAAAGGATATATTTGTTGATATAAAATAGAAAGGCATTCTTTCCTCAATATTTTTGTTATGAAGTCAATAAAGGAAGATACAGCCTCATATAGAATGTTACAACTATTAAGTCATGGAGTTGTATATATAGTAATCATTTTCTTCAATACTCTACCCCACTGGTTCTTAACCTTGGGTTACTCAGGAGTTTTGGACTGCAACTCCCAGAAGCCTTCACCACCAACTGTGCTGGCTGGGGTTTCTGGAAGTTGCAGTTCAAAAACATCCCCATTTTCTTCAATACTATACCCCAGCCATTCTCAACAGAGGTCATATAACCTCCAGGGGGACCCTGGCACATTTGAACGGTGCCACAGACTGGAAGCAATTCTTCACACAGCACTTTCTAAGGTTTGTTATGCAATCTACACAATCCTGATTTGGCCTACATTTCTTTCATATTGTATTTATGGCCACCCAGCCATTCTCAACAGGGGTCATATAACCTCGAGGGGGGCCCTGGCACATTTGAAGGGTGCCACAGACTGGAAGCAATTATTCACACACCACTTTCTAAAGTTTGTTATGCAATCTACACAATCCTGATTTGGCCTATATTTCTTTCATATTGTATTTATGGCCATGTCCAAAAAAAAAAAGTTGAGAATGGCTGCTGTACCTAACTGCCACAGTTACTAGCACCGTACCACCTTCAAAAATTCATATTTTAAAATGGGAGTTTTATGTTTCAATTATCAGAAGCAAAATGGTGCAGTGATTTCAAATTTGCATCTTATTTTACCTCTTTCATCTGAGTTCTGTAAATTCAGCCAAACCATTGTTCTATGTCAAATCATAAAGCCTAACACTTTAGTTTGTTATTATTGTTAAACAAACAATGCCATCTGTCCTTTAAAGTTTCATGAGTTCTGCTTTTTGGAAAAATTCATAAAGGGGAGATCTTGCACCACAGAGTTCTTTAGCCCTTTAAAACTGAATGTTCCTGTTTCTTTCGAAGATAATGTACTCATAACCTTATATTCCTTTGTTTGCTAGTTGTACAGTGATTGTGAGGTTTATAGTACCATCTTGGCTGGTTTTTGTTAACTGCCGTTGAGTTGCCTCCGACCCTTGACATCCCTATGAATGAGAGATCTCCAGCATGTCCTGTCCTCAACAGCCCTACTCAGCTATCGCAAACTCAAGCCTGTGGTATCCTTTGAGGAGTCAATCCATCTTGTATTTTGTCTTCCTCTATTCCTGCTGCTTTCAACCTTTCCCAGCATTATTTTCATTTCCAGAAAATCCTGCCTTCTCATGCTGTGCCCAAAGTCGGGCAGCCTCAGTTTCATCATTTTTGCCTCTAAATATAGTTCAGGCTTAATTTTATCTAGGGTCCACTTCGTCTTTCTGGCATCCAGGATATCTGCAAAGCTCTCTCTTCCAGTGCCATATTATTTCAAACGAATAATTTTCACTCTGTTTGCTTTCTTAACTATCCAGCTTTCACATCCATACATGGTGATCAGAAATGCAAGAGTGTGGATGATCTTGGTCTTCATATCCAATGATACATACTTGATTATCTTTTCTAGTTCCTTCATTGCTGCCTTTCCAAGTGTCCTGTTTTCTTGTCTGTACTCTCCATTTGGATTGATAGTTGAACCAATATATATAAAATCTCTAACGATTTCAGTATTTTCATTGTCAGTATTAAAGTTGTGTAGCTATTCTGTAGTCATTATTTTTGTCTTCTTAATGTTCAGCTGTAGTCCTGCTTTGGCACTTTCTTCTTCCACTATAAGTTATTTCAAGTCATTGCTGCTTTCTGCCAGTAAGACGGTGTCATCTCCATATCTTAAATTATTGATATTCCACTAATTTTCACTTCTCCATCTGAATCTAGTCTGTCTTTCTGTATGATATATTCTGCATACAGATTGAACAGATAAGAAGATATCTGTTTAACACCTTTGCCTATAGGAAACCCCTTGTCTTTCCGTATTCAGTCTTAATGGTAGTTTCTTGTCCACAATAACAAGTTACACATCAGAACAATCAAGTACTGAGGCACACCTATTTGTTTCCAAACAACACATAAGTTCTCATGATCCACACAAGGCTTTGCTGTAGTTTATAAAGCATAGTCTGGTCATCTAAAATTCTTTGGTGCACTCCAGGAGCCAGTGGATATTTGTAATCCAGCTTGAACACCAGACATTTCTCACTCCATATAAGGTAAAAGCCTTTGCAACACCATGAGCATCACTTTGTTTGCATGCGAAAATAAAGCAATGGCCCTGTAGTTACTGTACCCCCTGGCATTTCCCTTTCTCTGGCACTTCCCTTTCTCTGGGACTGGAATGCATATGGAACATTGCCAGTCTGTGAACCTTGCATTATAGTCCTAACTGCCTGTGCTACATCTTGCCTCAGTATTAGAGCCACTCCGTTTCTTCTGGGTTTGTCATTTCCAGAGTAGAACACTGTAGTTGTCTGATAGCAAGCACTGCTATGTTTATATGTTCCATTTCTTGCTTTACAGTTTCCAGTTTACCTTGTTTCATACTTCTCACATTCCATGTTCCAGTTATATCCAGTGCGGTCTTTACTTGAGAACTTACTCCGTATTGGAAGGCGGTTCTCAAGTCAAAAAGTCTGTAAGTCAAGTCTCCATTGACCTACAGTGCATTGAAAACCGATTAATCCCGTAACAGGCGGTTTTTGCTCCATTTTGGTTTTTTTCTGGTCTGTAAGTCAAATCTCAGTCTGCAAGTCAAACCTAAATTTTGCGGCCAGAGAAGTCTGTAAGTCAAGCCGTCTGTAAGTCAAGGGTCCACTGTATCTTGTGCAGCATCGGGCTGTCCTTTCACTTCTGTACATATGAGCCACTAAATGTCCTTTCGGCTTAACTTAGTTGCGTCATTAACAACACAGTTCTTGTTCTTTGCTCTTCTCCAATAGTTGATTGAGTACTTTCTCATCTGGAAATCTCTTCTTCCAGCACTATCTCATTTCACTTTGAACTGTCTCATCATAGGGTTTTTCATGGTAAGGAAGGTTCAGACGCAGTTCAACACTGCCACCTTCTGCACAGTACAGTACTAACAAAAATTAGCCATCTTGGCTAAGATTTTTTAAATCCCAAATCATCCAAAGTGAAACAGGAGGTGACCTGTAAAGCAGTTTTCTAGTTGGAAAGAAAGGGTTGAGATAGTGTATAACAGACAATAAGCAGGGTTCAGACATAACCCTAATCTTGCAAGGCTCCTCATATGTTATTAAATGATAGTTTTATGTTCAAACACTCCACTACTGTACATTCAGTCATTGCCAAGAAACAAACCGTCACATGGACCTATGAGAAGCTTAGCTGGTAATCATATTACAGGCTTAGCTGCTACTCAAAATTGGCCCAAATCCATCTTTTTGCCTTTATTCAGTATAAATGAATGGCTCCTATTTACTCCAGGGAGGTGAGAGATCGATTTCAGTTCGGGGGAGGGAGGGGGCTGAGCCTTGCAAATCCACCTTGAGCTTAATGGAGATACACTATGCTTCCTAGAGGCCCTTACAGTTGAAAAGCACGCCCTCAGCATAGAGCCTTTCAATCATTATGATGGGTATTTTTAAAAGTATATTATCAATACAGTGTTACAAGGGAACTTCTGGAATATTCATTGTGAAAAATGGGTGCAACAGCAGTGCCACCAGAAGACCTTCATGAGAGAGCAACTCCTCTTATCTAGATGTTTGTGAAGAAGGGTCATTGAATTTCTAATTACTTTAGAGTTTGTAACATGCTAGAGGCATAATTCCAAAACTGTGTGAAGGTAAATGAGGCTTAGCCTTTTGATATCAATAGATTTGATTAAAGACACACTCTGCCTTTATGTCTGGAAGACTAGTACGACAGTGGTCGCCAACCTTGGGCCTCCAGATGTTCTTGGACTTCAACTCCCAGAAATCCTAGCCAGCAGAGGTGGTGGTGAAGGCTTCTGGAAGCTGTAGTCCAAGAACATCTGGAGGCCCAAGGTTGAGGATCACTGTAGTAAGAGATTAGTAACTCCTAAAGAAATCCTTACAGTGATGTTTGTCACTCCATCCAACCCCTGAATAGAAAGCCAGAGAACTGAGCCTCAAAGCAACTAAATTGTCATCTCAATTGTTTTGGAGGTGTTTCTCTTTATTCCCATAGATGCTGGATCCCAACTCCATTATCCTTTTGTTCCAAAAGAGTTCAGAACAGAGAGTGGAATGTTTTCACAGCACAGAAACCTTCGTGTGTCCTTATTTTTATCGGTGGGTTTAACTGAACTGCAAACACAATCCACAATGCCATTTGTTTTTATGTTCTGCATGTATATTTTATATATAGCATATATATTATATACATACACTATTCGTTTGAAATTTTTATATTCATCAGAGTTGACATTTCTTTCTAAGCCTTTGGAACAGAATCTAGAGTGATACAGTCTACCAGCCAGAATAATATTAACCTCAACTTTAGTCAGGTTTGGAAAATTGTATGACTTTTGCCTAGGCAAGGGCAGTCTTTTAAATTGAATTATGCTGAAAATTTTAAATGAAGAAGTTATTTTTGTTTTAAAAGTAAATAAATCTAAGTTGGTAATTCTATACATTCAGTTTTATATAAAGAAGTAGGTGGCAGATCTTTCTAAATAAGATGGGAAGTAATATTTTCTTTATAAGACTCCATTCTTCTGGACAAGCTCTGCCTTTGGAATTCACTGCATTGCTGTACCTGGTGCTTCGTATCTATATTAACATATTTATAGATATAACTCCTAACTTCCCTTTGTAATTGAAGG